TTCGAATCGATTTTAATGGAGCAATATGCAGAATTACTTACTTGATTAGCAATTGGTTTAAAAACCTATTGCATCAAGTAAGTATCATTTCAAATAAGTATCATTTCAAAAATTATAAATCGCCGCAATTCCAATGGACCTCAATTTTATTATCGTTTCCATTTAACAACAACAAACAAAAACAACAAAAACAAATATTCAAGATTGGATTCGATTTTAATTTTAAATAGGCCGAATATGGATTTCACCGAATACGAATATTCGGCCGAAAGTTCGGTAAAACTTTTACCGAACCGAATATTCAACTGGATCACCTCTGTACCTAACCAATTTATGTCGAAACTTGTTACCTACCATAAAGCGCGCGAAATTATATAGAAAAAACTGACTACCAAACTAAAGTGAATTGTACTAATGTAATATAATGTTTCTTTGTTTGATTCCAAAACATTTTATCAAGCTTTCTATTTGCTATAATTGGAAATAAATCTAAAGTACCTCGAAAAAATAAAATTTCAAGTAGATTTAACCCATAAATAAAATATACTTTCAACAGTAAAATTATGAAAGACATGATATTGCTCAATTCGTACAATTCAATACAGTGGACATTTTGAGTACCACTTAAACGAATATTCCGTAATTTAGCCGAATATTCGGTAATTTAGCCGAATATTCGGTAAAGCTGCCGAATACCGAATATGAAACGAATATTCGGCCCATCTCTAAATTTAATGGAGCAATAATGCGGAATTGCTTACCTACTTAATAAGCAATTTGTTTCAAATTTATTTCAATTCCAAACGATCTTAATTTTATTCTTGACGCATTTTAAATACATATTATAATTGAAGAAGTTGAGTGCAGATTTACATTATTTAAATTTTTAAATTTAGTTCTTATATTTGTTTCAGGCTGTTCATTAATTTCTATATTTAAGTTGAATAAATGTACTGATATTTATTATTGTAATAACTATTATTGTATTTGTGTGCTGTTTTTAATAAATCCTGTAAATATAATGTTAGTTTTATTTATTTTAATATTAATTATTAATATCTGTGATGAGAACAAGTAAATATACCTAGGCGCTATATTTATACGGCTTATGTATAGATAAACTTATGCATAGATTACTGACTATGTACTAGAGAAGCTTATGTTTATAGATATTACATAAATAAATAAATAAAAAAGTTGCTAACTAGGGATACAAGATGGCGCTAGTTAAGCATTTACGCCGAATGAAGTTTTCGACGTAGTTAAAAACATGACGAGGGGTAAATCGCCAGGGCACGATGGCCTCAGCATTAAGCATCTTCTGCATGCAGGGCTTCATCTTTCAGGGCTTCTAGCTACCTTCTACACCCTTTGCATGAGACATTCCTATTTTCCTGAGCAGCTGATGAAAACTGTTGTTGTGCCTATAGTAAAAAATAAAACTGGAGATATATCTGACAAAGAGAACTAAAGGCCCATCTCAATAGCTACTATCATGGCTAAGGTGCTTGACAGTCTGCTTGAGCGGCATCTCAGTGGATATCCAAAATTACATGATGCTCAGTTCGAAAAGTGTCTCTCCACTGAGAGTGCAATATTAACGCTCAAGCATACTGTTAGGTACTATACCAATAGGAAAACACCAATTTACGCTGCCTTCCTGGATCTGTCAAAGGCATTTGACCTAGTTAATTATGATATTCTGTGGAAGAAGCTGCGTGAGTGCGTGAGTGGCCTTACCAAACGAGTTGATTGAAATATTTAATACTGGTATGTTAAATCAGGTCAGATGGACAGAGGCACTGTCCAACGAGTACAGGTTAGAGTGCGGGGTGAGACAGGGTGGCCTAACTTCACCAGCGCTCTTCAACCTGTACATTAACCAGTTAATCGTTGAGCTCAGCAACGCTGGTGTCGGCTGCTCAATTGATGGGCATTTCGTTAACAGCATAAGCTATGAAAACCACATGGTGTTGCTGAATCCATCGATTAACGCACTGAGGACATTACTTAATATTTGTGATATTTATGCTGAGACTCACGGTCTCATTTATAATGTAAAAAATTGAAGTGTTGTTATATCGAGCTGGATCTAAAATTGAAACGATTCCACCTGTTAAATTAAGGAACGTACAGTTAAATAGAGTGTATCAATTTAGGTATCTTGGTCACGTTTTAACTGAGGATCAGACTGATGATGCGGACATAGAAAGAGAAAGAAGGGCATTGGCGGTTCGTTGTAACATGCTGTCCCGCAGCTTTGCACGCTGTACAGAAGTTAAGGCAACACTTTTCAAAGCCTTTTGCCAGTCATTTTACACGTGCAGTCTATGGGTTAAGTACACGCAGAGAGCCTACAATGGCCTTCGGGTACAATATAATAATGCCTTCAGGATGCTGGTGGGATTTCCGCGGTATTGTAGCGCTTCAGGGATGTTTACAGCGTAAGGTACGGACGGTTTTCGTGCCATAATTCGAAAGGGAATAGCATCCCTCATGCGCAGGGTTCGTGGGAGCTCTAATAGCATTCTGAGGGCAATATCTGATACATTTGATCGTCCCATCCTAGGGCACTATATGCGTATGCACTTGCATGTGCCTTGTGTCATGGGGTGCCAAAAATAAAAAAAAATTGTAATGAAAATTGTACGTGTAATAATTTAAGACTAACATAGGTTAAGCTAATTTACTAACATAATTATGGAATGTAATTTTCTCATCTGGTTCGGTTCTAATATAAAATTATAAATTAAAATGATACATAAATATCAATAAAATAATATTATTATTTTATAGGTCGAAGATTGGTATCTATTTCAGTTTATACAAAGGTACTCTGTGGGTTGATATGAGCTTAAAATGTTTAGTCTGAAAGTTTTTTGGGGATTCCAACAGATGGCGGAAAGTCCAACTGATTCTCAATTATAATTTAAGATATAAAATATCCAAACAACATTATTAATAATTATGTCGCCGCATAATTATTTTGTCCACATGTGTTTTACAGCTGTTTTCTCTTTATTAATTTAGGGACTTTTATCCCAAACCAAGGATACATCAGCGCTATCTTCTATGTTTTACTTAAACTCTTTGTTTCTTTTGATAGAATTAAATTCACCAATGTTATAATAATGGAAACTAGATGTCGCTTTCTCAATTTTTTTTTCATATTACTTATAATAAAATCAAATTGAGGCCTAGCTTTTAGCCTCAATTTAGAATTTTTGTCTTGTTTTTGATAATGTTTCTCTTAAAATCAATAGTGACATGAGGCACTGTGACTGTTTCTGTATCACATGAACTGCAGAGTTTGACTATGTTGCCTTTAAATTACAAAACATTATCGAAAGATGGCAATAGTCACAGCATATGAGATATAAGTATAATCGATACTTACGTGATTAAATTTGATCAAAGAACACCGACACAGATTTTATAAATATTTTATCGTTGTCGTTTCCCTCTGTTAATTAAAGAAATTATCAGGATGCATGATGTATCGGATTTATAATTAGTGAACATAATATGGACAAAAGTTATGCAAGCAATAATATGATATGCCTATGTCTTCGATCAATTATATACTATTGATCGAAGTCCTATGTATTAATATTACATGCCGTCTATACTGAAATGATTTGTAGTATATTATTAAGAAAGTACTAGTTCCTGCAAGCAGTATTCCATAGGTGGCGCTATGAAAATTACGTTTCTACTCCCGATAGTGCAGAATGAATTTAACTGATGGCGCTAAAAAAAATACGCTTTTTTCTACAACGCAGTAGTAAGATTATTTTTATTTTGGTTGCATCATTAGTGCTGACTATGACCTCTCGTTTTGTTATACTCAAGATTCATAATCAGCTAAATTTTTGACAGCTCTGCAATGCAGAGTTCATAAATTAAAATTATATATATGTATAGGTAAGGTAATAATATTATAATACTACTTTAAAACATTAAATAATGATGTTTACAGATTATAGAAATGTTTATACTGTATATCTGTATAGTGTATACTCATTCTAGGTACTTTACATCAGGACTCGGAAGTTAAAAGCACTTAGGTACCTAAGTCAAATCTTTTTGAATGCAAAAATTTTACGGGAGAGGTTTGTATTCCATAGGTGGGAAAAATGTAGTATGGTTTTTATTTTTATTGTTTTTTATTACATAATCACGAACTAGTTATACATTTAGCTTAGTATATTTCGAACTTATTTATTATTATCTGACTTAAGTTTTTATAAGCGCAAAGAAATCGCAACTTAAGTGTTTATTACTGTACCATAAAACTACTATTTTTTTGCTGCTCGACCTGACTAATTGCATCCAATCACGTGGGTGATAAATTTCAATTTCAGTTTTTTCTTTTTTTTCTATAATTGCATGGTCCAAGTCCACCTCCATATGTGTGTATGACCAGATGATTAATTAACTTAATACAGGGTTTTACTGACAACAAGTAGGTAAACATTACAGCCACATGGGTGTTCTTATTTTGTCCTCCGCAAGTATCAGAGTACAAAGTTACTTCTGAAACTTCTTCATGAAGTTCTTTTAAATAGAAAAACAAACAAGAGGCTATTTTATTAGTTCCTCGACCTGAAATTCTCTCATGGAATATGTGGCGCGTTGACATTCCAGTTGCGTTGTCATGTATCGTAAGATTAAAGGTCCAAAGTTGTCTTTGTTAAAGGCTACAGATGATTGCAAAGCTGGGGTTGGCAAGCGTTGTTGTAGGTCTAAAGACAGATACTTTATTTCTTTATCTGTAACTGCGGTATTTTTGTCAAATTTATTCTCATTGTAAGCCATGTCAGCTGCTAGCAAGTGTGCGTCACGTTCTGTATCAAGAGCAGACTTTTTCGTCTCGTCCCGTCCGTAGAAATGTTTAATTTCATTTTAAACAGGTCGCAAGTGTGACATGTGTCCGCTTTTGGTTCTTTGAAACTTAAATTCAATTTGTGGAATTCTCTGCGGTAAATCTTGTCACTTACATGATTTTCCTGTGTCGTTGAATAAAGCGAATACATTTTTGATATTGTCAAATGCGATGGTAAATATTTCCGGGTGCTTTTGCGTCTAGTGTAGTGGCTTTTATAAAGCGGAAACGAATTGATATAATTAACCACCTTTTCAATTTTTTATTCAGAATGTTTGTTATGTGGTATATTCTTCCCACGATTGTGCGTTCCATTGATTGCGTTCTACTTGAGCTGCTCCGTTTCTTCAACCCGATTAGTTTAACAAAATCATCACTTATTGATAGGGTTTTTAGAAAACACCCTTGACACACCGATATTTTTTTACTATTAACGTTGAAATGACACTTGTAAGTGTACTGTCTACATTTATTGTTTATCAGGATCTTTGACTTGAAGACGTTTAGTTTGAAATTTTACGCTAAATGTAAATTTTATGATTATACTAGGATATATGTAACCAAATTCAAATATATAGAGCCTTGCTGCAGCTTTATTAAGGTCGTTGCACGTATCACAGAATATCAGCGTTAAATTGCAGCCTTATGCTGCTGTGTTGCGTACGATGAGCGCAGCGAACCGGAGATCTTTATTAGGAGAAGCATTCCATCATGGTCGTCAGGGGTGACAACTCATTTGTATTTTACTAATGGAGGACTAGATTTACTCAACTACCATCAAATGTACTATATGACCGTTTGTCTTTTTTATAGCATACCGTTTGACCGTTTTTATAGCATACGGGTTATGCTATAAAAAGCTAAGAAGGCTACGGATGCGTTTTCATCTGCATATTCAGTTATAATATTTGTAGCGTGTGTTTACATTATCAGTAATATACACGTTCAGTTTTTTTTTAGTAAAGTAAGACCCGAGATTCCAAACCTCCTTGTGTATCAAAGCGCGCTGCTCATCACTTATTTTCTGTCGGCACTTATTCCGACAGTCATTTAATTCCTTCATTTGACGTTTTTCAATAGTTTTCTCAGAAGCTGTCACATAAGATTGGCTAAGATTTCTTTTTAATTTGTTTTCTTGCTTCTTTTTCCTACAGGACACTGATTGGTTCTATTGTAGCGATGAAATATCTCCAATGTTTTCAGGTATCTCATTGTCTTGCGTTATATGCATATCCACTGATGCATTAGGAACAGCAATTTCCATTTCTTCATTTCTGGAGAGTAGTTAGGATCGGCCCAGAATCGTCAATAGAAAAGTCACTTACTGTTTCATCAAAAGTAGTTTGGTTTTGGGTTCCAGATGTACTTGGTTGTGGATTATTGAATGCCGGTAGTGATTGAATGGATCTTCATCACCTGGAAAAGACAACAATGAAAAATAATGAAAATTATGATGTTTTCAAATATAAAAAAAACTTTCTAAAGACGTGTGGTTAATTCAAATAAAACTATTTAATAGTTTTGCATATTTACCTATTGTAATAAAATGATAAACTAACGTTCACACCAAAAAATCTTTTACGCAGACACAAATTACTGTTATAAAGAGCAGGAAAAAGAAGTTCACAACATCTCCCTTTTTTACCTGTATTCTCATTCATTGCTGCGCTGTCATTATTTATGGTGAGATTCACCAATTTTCTGGCCCTTGAATCCGTTGCGACTCAGTTAACTTAACGTAAACCACCACCATCATACAGGAACAAATAACAACTAATGAAGAAATGTGTATTTTATCTATGTAATTTACCATTTTATCAGACACTTAAAAAGAGGATAGGTACTTCAAAACATTATAAAGAACAAAAACGGACCACCGGTAACTGTCAAAAGATGCACAGCTATAATCACTAGTTTTTATTGAAAAATGCTGCCATCGGATGCTGTAAAATGAGGTCGAAAACTTTTCAGACCACCCTGGTATATATCGAGAAAATCAAATAAATATTTCGAGAACGTGAAGACCGATGAAGGCAGACTCTTCCTCACCTAATTTGACTTTTTCACAAATTCTTTTGTAATTTCCTTCATTACAGCCTACAAAAGTGCACTTGATTAAAACTACTTTTACAGATTTTATCGCGTTTATTTTTGCTTTTAATTACTTTTATTTTTAATTCCCGACGTTTCGGGCGCTTTCCAGCACCCATGGTCACGGGGGACTGAGATGACTGACGTCCCGATGTCATTGTTAAACCCGGAGTACCTTCAGCTTTTTTAATTATTGTTTATGGTCCGATCTATGCAAAATGAACTGACTATGTCTTGAGGTCTTGCAGTGGTATGCTTGGGTTTAGTTTTAATTTTATTGATTATAGGATCCCAAGCAGGTGGTAGTACCCAGCCTCCTTCTCTATTGAAATTAGGATGTTTTTTAATTTCAATAGCCTCACGTATCATCCTTGGTAGGAATCGGTGTTCTTTCGCGAGGATTTGTGGTCTATCAAATCTGATGTAATGGTTTGGTAAAAGTTTGGTAAAAGTGCACTGTTGGGCTTCCCCAATAAATTGCCTCATATGGAGGACACTTTCATATTTGCCACGCTTGGTAGTTGTCATCCGCAATTGGTTCGAAAACCGGTTGCGTAACATAACATTAGTTCTCTCGTCTGTTACCCAGAGGTGAACGGGGACTATGGACTTCCATTTGTCACGATCCTTACACACGATTCTCAAATAGATCAGGGTTACATTCTTCGGGAGCAAAACCACCCTATCTATCATTTGGCTTCTCTGGCATATTGGAAATTAAACCTGTCACCACATTTTCATTGCCTTGTGCTTATTTTGTGTATGGTGTATACTTCGTAAAGTGCAAACTCCTTTCTTATCAAATTAGATTGCAATCTTACTTAGTACCTAAGTACATTTTGTGTTTTATAGATATGCCGAATTTTAATAATTTGCTTAAAATCGTCTTTTCAGTTGGGTAGATTAGGAACTTACTAAAACAATACTCTTCTTCGGCGGGCTAAATTAGGAAAAAATAAAACAAAACAAATTCTCTATGATTATTTACAAACATTAATCATTTATTTATTTAAGACAAAAATATCACCTTCCACGAATTGAATACAAAGAAGGCACGTACATATATAGATAAACATCAATAAATTGGTATTTGTTACAGAACCAATTGAATTACAATTTTGTTCGATCACGCGTTCTGAATTCTAACGGCTTTTTAAAAAAAAATAACTTGTACAAAAAAGTTTCCGAAATAACTTTTTAAACCTACGTATTTTTAATCGTTTAAATAATATTGAAAAATAAAATAAGTCATATTTATATCCCAATGTTTATATCGCTTAATTCAGAACGCATGAGTTGAAATAAAGTTCCCAATTGTATTTTTTTTTCTTTCCTTTTAGGCCGAATTGATGGCTGGTAACAATAAAGAAAATACTTTGCGGTATCATCAAATGATTATTTACTGTAAAAATGCATTTGACTTAAATCAACTTTAACACCATAGGGTGGCGAGAATAACAACATTTTCTTGTACTTAGTTGCTTTAAGTTTGTATATAAGGAACTAATGTGCATAAATATAACAAAATAGCATTTATTATGTCGTTCAAAATGTCTGCCTTTGTTGCTACAGATGTGCAATCAGAACTATTATATTATGTACATTACCAACTGAACCTGTTGATCTTAGATTATATAAAAATACTCTATCGTCCTTTAGCTACATGTATTTCTGTCATTATATTTTCTTAATTTTATCGATAATTCTAAAACTGTTACATACATCACTACACTAGTAATGTTCTTCAAACTCTGTAAGTGCAAGCAAGAAGAGGTTCGATGAAAGCGAGTTTCGGTAAATAAATTCAATTACATTTTTTCTTTTAAGTTTCGTTCAAAATGAAACAAACATTTTAATAATTTTTAGTGACATATCGAAATGTGTTTTTTAATTTTTATCGCCATGTTATATGTAAGTGCTAACCGTTTTAAAAATTACACTCGAATTGTAATAAAAAGATGTTAAGATAAAAGCTATTGTAATTTAAAGACTAGCACGTTATATGTACTAAAATTACAATGTAAATAATGGAAGATTACGTAAATTTTATCAATAAATTTAAGCACCTCGTGGAACTCTTTTATTTGTATAAATTACAGGCACATTGCATTTTTTTTAAATTACGTTTAATTGGTAATAGGTAAATATCTTATATTTAAAACGTAATACTATATTTATTTATAGTTTAGTTTTATGGCAGCTACTTTGACTGTTTTTTGTTAATATATAAAATATTACTATTGTGTATTGTAGTGCTATCAATTAAATCAATTGAATTGTTTGAATATAAGTATTATAATTTATGTACTTGTATTTCATTATAAAGATTTAATGAAATCTAATAATTTGTTACACGAAGCGAATATTAAGTTTGGTTGTAATCTACAGCATAAATTAATAATCTATAAAAATTTATAAGCACATTAATTAAAGACTGAAATTAAACTTAATGTAACGCTAAATATGTTACTTAATTACACTTTGGTAATAATAACCTAATATTTTTAATACATTAAAGAGTAAGTGTGAGAAGATCGAATCGCTACAGGTTAAAATAAACAGAAATGTTACTAAGCGAACCGTAAAAACATATATAAGCGACATCATTTCATCTATCGCTAACTAAAAACAATTAATAATAATATTTACAGAAAATATTTAAATCATAGGAAAAGAACATAGCTGGTTGAAGGAATTTCACTTAATTTTTTTACAATTAGTTTGGGGAGATAAAAACTACTGAATATTTTAAGTAACTGGGCGTCAATCGTAAATGATCTTAATTATTTTAAACATTGACAAACAAAATAATAAAACTGTTCAAAACTGGGATAAAAGCATTTGTACTTTGGAATCGAAGTGCTATACAGCTGCACGAAGAGCTACTACAGGCGGGAATAAACTTCAAAAAGAACAGCCTACAATGACAATCACCACGTAAAGACAAGACACGTAAGTTAATATAATCTGTCTTTTCGACTACTAAATACACGTCGTTCCAAAACTATAACGACATGTTGTGTTGAGAAATTGAAAAAAAAAATAACGTATTAAAAAAAT